TTAGCTCGTGTGGTTCCCGAGGTCGCTTTCCCGCCAAAAAATTTGCATATTTTTTTAAAACGTCCGAACTTGGCACCCAGGCGTCCAAGGGGGATGAAATTAAAACGGGAGGGTCGCGCATGTTTGTCGTTACCTAATAAAAATACGGAACGGAAGCTATCAGGAAAAAAAAAACAGTGTCCTCATTACTTACTCGGCCACAGTTCTGAAGCCTAATTAGGGGTTGCATAGATTCAGAAAAAGGGGGCTTGCTGAGATCGGGAAGAGAAACTTGTTTACTCTTTACGGTTACCACATGTGTTACAGGCGATATACTGCAACATTTGCAATTAGATAAAAGAAAGTAAAATCCAGTAACCAACGGTATATAACAAAAAATTATTTGAGCAGCTCGTACACTCTATTTAATCTTTTCAAGATTTTACTGCTTTTTGATTAAAATGTCTATTAAAGAACAAGAAGCTCGAGTAGGAAGTCAAATGTTTTTAAAACGTTATTCCATCACCAGCGTGTGTTAAAAAACTACTCGTCCAAAAAAAAGACCCTAATTAGGTCATCACATTCTAGTGCCATTTTGTCATTCACTGCCGCTGATACAAACCGTAAGTTAATTCGATCTTAACTAGAGGGTTAAAGCAAATGTGCAGATTTTCTGAGCAGCAGCTCGAACACTGCTTTCTTGTCGCTGCCAATGACTTTTCCAGGGCTTTTAAAAATCCCAGTTTTGTTTCTGTAAATTTGTTTTTTATACAAAAATGCAACATTTTTAGGATTCCTTAAAAATATTTCGATAATTCGGCACCTTTTTGGACTGTATTGTTTTGATGCACGGAGAACTGGCAATGGTCACCATAATGAGCAGCATCGCACTGACATATAAAGCCGCGGCCGCTTCCCCAAGATGGAATACACGTCCCAAACCTACCGCAGTTCACATTAACGCACGGATCGATCTGCAGTAGCAGGTTCTCAGTTATATCTGTTACTTTTATCTAGAGGTAAACGAGGGTGCACTACTAGTATATGTTAATAGGTGGCTTGCATCTTATCATCCTATACAGCAACTTGACTGATAATCAGAATGAAAGGACGCGGACATTAATTTGGCATTCCACGACCAAAATTTGCGTGTTTTCCTACTATTTTGCACACCAACCAATTTAATTCCTTCACCTAGTCTTCTTGGACGATACCGTTATTTAAGACATCTCTAGAACCTCAAATAAGAAATGCATTCAAAATCTTCCGAAAAAAGCGTCCATAGATTCTGGATTTTTACCTTGGTTTCACAGTTTCGTCCAATAAAGCCACTCACACAGGTGCAATAGTAATAATTTTGTAGGCCACCGCTTGAGCACTTCCCGCCATTGAGGCATGGTGAGTTATGAAAGCAATAATCTAGATCTCTGTAATTAAGAAATATACGACATCTATATGGCAAAAGCTAAAATGCTGGGAAGTTTGGAAATTTTGAGGACAAACCCAATTTTCGTGTAAGAACTCAGAAGTGCCTAATGCCAAAGTTCTAGTTTTTACAATCGGTGAGGGCGAATTTTCTTTGCTCTGTAGAGTTCGAAAAAATTTGAAATTTCAGGAGGAACTACCTGTCACAGTACGTGCCACCCCAGTTTTTTTCGCAAATACATTCGTTCGCTTTGTTGCAGTATCCATGCTTACAGCCTTCCTGCACTTTGCAGATATTGCAGTTACTACCTTGCCATCCACTGCGACACCTAAATTATCATTAAAGTTCTTCAAAGTTATGTCCTCTGAAAATTCAGAGCTGAGTACTCTCGCATGCGCATGTTTGTTCAGTGCGAATGACAGGGCTACTGCTGCACTTTATTATGGTAGCTCTAACGGACAGTCGCAGATTACAGTAGTGGATTACTGCAACAAGCCTACTTCAACGAGAGCAAGGCCTGTAACCCTTGTAAAAGCAGCCGCGCTTACCATAGGTGTGAAATGAGATACTGCTCCAGCGAGCTGCCTCGGTGAGTGCAAAGAACTGCAGTTTTAATGGAAATCCACAATTTTTATCGTAGTACCACCAGTTCACAAATTATGCGAGGGACTGATCGAGAAGCAGTGAGGCAGGCGCTAAAAACGCTGCAACAAAGTTGCATCAATTCCGCAGACTTGCTTGGTCCAGAATAACGCGTATGCATACTTGCATTTTTCTGGTGAGACACAGTATCCGTTGTTGCATCCGTTGGTGCAAATCGGATCGTCGCAGTTTCTCCCACTCCAGCCTTCTTCACATATGCGTTTTCCCTCACCCGAACATTTGAAATGAAAGCTATAATTCAGGTCGGTAATTATTTCTCAGTAAAAAAAACATACGATTGATTGTATTCAAATTCGGAATCAAAGCACAATATAAATTTTAGCTTTGGTGAATGAAAATAAAACCAACTTTCCGATGCTTGGATTGCAATAAATAGCACACTCTGGTCCATAGTAATGCTCGTCACACTCGACTTTGATAAAGTACGCTATTTTCATTTCACCTTTCTCCTTCAGAACATTTTTTTAAAGTAACTCACAGAATAATCAAGAACTATGGATTTTAAATGAATTACTTTGGAAATGAAATTCCTGGACTTGACAACTCTGCTGACATTATGCACGATAAAAACTTAAAGGAAGCATGTTTTAGGTGCTATAAAAAGCAATAAGAATAACTGCAGCTAAACTTAAATAAACAAGAACTCGAAGGATGCCTTTAATAGTTATGTTAATTCAGAATGGAAAAGGAAATTCAAAACCTCGGTGATGCGTAGAATATCAGTAGAAAGTGGCGAGAGTTGAAGGAAGTTTTCGGACCGAAAAATGATTGCTTTGTTTGGCTCATGTCGCATTTCTACAACAAGCGTCACATTCTGAAATTGGCCGTAAAATTTCCAAACAGCTTAACAAAAATGTTCGAAAAACAGATAGCAGTGATTACAGTTCGCTGTGCACACACTCATATCCTTCGATTCCTCTCCTGTCAGTAATCTGTACACTATTTGATGGTTTTTTATTATGCTTATCATCCCTACATATCATCCTTATAAAGCCCAACTGAGTATGGTAACAAACTAACAAACAGTCACTGCAGAAATAAAAAGCATTATACATAATATAGGAAATAAAAGTTCGTCATTTGTGCTATTATTGTTATTATTATTTCTACTATCATTCTTATTATTATTGCTATTATTATTGTTGTTGCTATCATTATTGTTATTATTACTATTGTTGTTATTACTTTACTATTACTATTATTATCCATAAACCTATCTTTTGGTTTTGCTTTTCACAGGCTTTTTTTATACAGTTCACGGCATAGCACAAAATCACTTTAATGCTGAGTTTTTACAAATAATTTTCTACACGTGCACTTTGGGCTAGTGAAATTACATGCTTTCCGCAGTTATTACGTGTTCGATAGGTCATTTGAAAAACGTAAACTATGACCTACTAAAAGCAGGAGAAAATTGCTGTAAATTCTGTCCCTTCGTGATTTTTCTTCTTTAGTGCTTTTTTATATAATCAGAAATGCAGTATGGCAAGCCCCCGCCAATGTTTGCATGTTTGTTTGCTTATTGTCTGAAAAACTGAGCTCGAAATGTTTTATGAATGGTCTGTTAAGACAAATTTTAAGCCATTTATGCCTTCCTCCTATCTATTCTGCTTCTTTTCGTTTTTTTTTTTTAACTTTTTCATTTTTGAAAGTCTCTTTTTATCTGTATTTTGTCTGCCTGCATATACGCGAACTTTCTAGGTTCTTGCTAAGCTGATTGTAGCTAAATCTAAAGTTCAATTATGCAGCAGACAAGCGTAGAGAGAGGAACACATATTGATGTAGACATACCCCACTCACCATGTGTTTTTTTTTTTGTCTATAAATGTTGTACAAAATGCACAAAAATGAGTCTCGAAATTTTTCGCTTTTTAAATACTACACGTAACTATCTTTTACTTGATATCCGCTGATCTTCTACGTTATAAAATGATTTTTTACAATGATTCAAAAACTACCTCATGATATAAACAAGCTTTTGTGTATGTTGGGTAGGGGTGGCGATTTAACTTATAAATTCAACTTCAGAAATACAAGAGTTAAGAATTAGAATACGTAAACCCTGACGGTACGCGTCGTATTATCTTTCATCATACACAGTTTAAGCTGATGACTTCTGTTGCGAATTTTGGCCTAGTGTCATCAATCAGGAGAGGAGAAAGAGGCATTCAATATTATAAGATTTTTTTTTACCGAACAATGCAGGATTAAGACTCAGCGATTTGTAGCTGCAGCCTCACTTATAACCCAGGCTCGTTTTAACTCTGAAATTTAGAAATAACTGGGCTATGTATCGAAATTTCGAGAATTTAATTTACACTATTGTGCAAGGCTAACAGCCTGGCTGTGTCCGCTTTCGGTGAATTCGTCACAAATGGATGCTGATTTTTTAGTTGCACTATTTCATCCCAACCATGATTCGAGAAGCATCAACTGGCTTGCACTGGATGAATCAAAGTTCAAAGTTCACTCTGAAGGAGGACAACCAAGTCCTTAAGTAATGGCACATTTAACCACTTTCCTCTCAGAAAGGCTTATTACAAAAATGCTTGATTGCGGCAGCCTGGCATGCGTATGGCTGCTTATTTGTTTTTCGTGGTAGATCCTGCGTTAAGTGAAGTTGGAATGACTCATTCGACAGATAGGAACTCGAGATCGCCTAATTCCTCCGCACTGGAAAATATGCAAATGAAATGAATAAGAGGCGCCAGCAATCCGATCGAGAGCGGAAATTTAGTGCAAACCATCACATCACTTTTTGTCGAAGGACTTTTTATGTGGCTTTAACGCCAACGCTGCTGCGTATTTTAGAGGATTTATGAAAAAAACAAGTGGATTGCGGGCGGTGTAATAATGTTGCTGGATGTAGCGCCGTTTTCCCGTCTCATCCGGGCAAGAACGCTATCGCTGAGAGAAGCAACCCCTGGTAGAATTGTTTTCTTGATAGTTGATGAGTTTTCAGTGCCTCTTCAGAGAGTTGAAATTATTGAAAGCATTTTCAGTGGTGAATGACTAAAGAGTGCTGTCACTAAGATCACAAATGAACAGGTTCGCGTTTGCTAAACACTAACATATGGAAAGAGTTTCAGCTGGAACCGCCAAAACAAATCTAGGACGAGAGCTTTTTCACCTAATTCTTACTTATTCTTACTTATAAATTCTTACTTATAAATTAAAAATCACTGCACATATTATGTACTATATCATTCAAATTGCGGCATTTCCAAAATTATTATGATGGAAAAGTAAGATTTCGAGAACATTTTGAAAAGAGGCACACGGCCAGTTAATCTTTTTTAAAGTTTCATGAGCGCACCAATTATTGACCGGATTCGCGGTTGGATTGAGATGCATCCAGATGCTGAACTGATAAATAATGCGTTTATATGCCGTGCTCTGTTGCTCTAGTCAATCCCTGTCTAGACTACTGGTTATACTTTTCATCTAACACTGCCCACTTCACGAAAAAACTCATCGTCTATTTTCAGCACCAATAATCCGGTGTCGCAAAATCACCAGACCCCATACTCCATTTTCCATTTGGTAGATGTGTGCAATTGTTGCCGTCATTTCTATAACCGTTAGAACGGTGCAGCAGTACCGTTTGCTGGTGAAAAATGTTAAGTAACAGCTATAGGAGTTTGCATCAGACGAAATCTCGTCGCAGCCACTGCTGGTAAAGGCCCCATCACTTTTACCAAGCGGAGCATTTTTGCGGTGCTCAAGCAGTGAATAAATCCACTTAATTCCACTTCTGTTTAGGTAAATACTCTGTGAGCGAAATCTTTTTTGCACACTCATTCGCTCCTTGTACCCCTAAAAACGACACCTCAGAATGGCTAAACGCACCGGTTTTACTAATACACCAGCCACCTATGCACAAAATGAGAAATTACTTTCGAATCAATTTTACTAAAAAACGCATTTTATCGAGAGTGCTGAAAACTTTTTTTCCAGGCGAATATTTACTGTGAGCAAAAAAAACCCCAAAAAATTCATTTCTAAATGGAAAGCTCGCAGCTGGTAAAGCATGACTGTCTGAATTGCCAGTAAGAGAGATGAAACTACTCAGTCTAAAACGGAACCAATTATTACTTGTGAAATCAGTAAGTGCCGTCGCATCGAAAAATCGCTTTTTTCGTCCAATTTACCACCGCTCAATCTTCTGAAATATTTCTACATGCCCAACAAACTTACGTTAGGACCTTATATCCCGGTGTATCTGCTTCCAGTTACCATAGATACTTCTGCTCCATTCACCAGATGTGCCTTCCCACCTATCAGCGATTCAATGCATTACCTTCTTTCCGGTAAAGTGAAAGCAAATTTGTTCCCTCGTTTTGCACGCTCAGTTCTGCAGCATTTTCGTCCATTTCCAAAAAATAACTGGCAGCGAAATCTACATTATTCGCCAAACAGCATATGGGAGATGTTCACCGTTGAAAGTAGGAGCGTCTTTTCAATCTGCCAGCAACGGGCGAGCTGTCAAGAACTGCGGTGACAACAAACTCGCGTGTCTCAAGTTCTTTCTGTCCAACGTGAGTACTAAGTCACTAATTCGTCTTTGTCCATCGAATACTCGATGTCCACCTTATTGACTTTTTCGTCATTATTTCCAGTAGTCTTCAACAGCCACGGCAGCCTCTACCAAGCCGGTGATGCTAAACCCTTTTCACGACAGGTGAAAAGAAGGCCAAGTGAAAGTATCACTGGCAAGCTCCCAGCAACTGGGTGAGGGCAAAGGATTTTGTTTGCCGCAGTGTGATACCTCTGATATTCTCTTTTCCCATTTGATTGGCGACTACTGCAAAGCTTTGCAAAACTATAAAAAGCACTGCGAGCAGATTCCAAGTGTGATAGAGTAAATAAATTGGCCGGTGTATATTCTCGACTAAGTTCTCGATCAAGTGCCGATTGAAATGGATAACAAAAGTCCAGGAAAGTTAGTTCTGAGTTTGGGAAAGTCGACGATAGGGTGATGATTATGGGAGTTTTACTACCTTTAATGCCTTACCAAGCTAACAAGGAGAACTTGCTGCTTGGCCTATGAAATTGACATGATGGAAAGACACGAAATAGCGCAGCAAGCCTCAGATGAATTCTCGTAGAGTTCTTCACTCTTTACTAGTGTTCATGACCTACTTATACTGCCACTGTGAACTGTACAGCTCCTCCGAACGTTAAGCATTTCATACGAAACTGCTATGCCGACTAGTTAAATCACTGGCCATTTTTTTTTTTTGCGTTTTGTGTTGTGTAACTACAGCACAAAACGCATATTGTCACGTTACAGCTTGTTTGTATGTGTGCGTTACTTGGCAGCCAGGAAGTTTGAATTTTAGCAGAGCGTTCCCCGCCTACTTGCGACCCCGCAAGTTAAAATTCAGCCTTTCCCGTGCACGCGGATATTACGTACGGCTTCGTGAAAGTTTTGGCGAGAAAAATTTTGTTCCGGGAACCACGAAAGCTAATAAGTTGAAATTTAACGAGAATGCTTTTCGCCAACGTGCATCTCAGCAAATTCAAAGTCGGCCTTCAATTACTACCAAGAAGCCATAAAAAGTAAGAAGCGGAAATTTTGGTATAATGTCATTTTCCCACATGCCACCTCGCAGAATAAAATCAAGCTTTCATCTATGCCTGGTTCTCTTGTACGGCTCCGCAAAACTTTTGGCGGGGAAAATTATTATGTAGGGAAAAGGGCTGTGAGGCTGAAATTTCAAGAGGATGTTTCCTACCTGTGCAGAGACTTGTTTTCCAAGCAGCCGATTTCTCACGTATGGTCACGTGAGA